GCTCTTGTAACCCAGCCGTGACCCTGCCCGCAGCCTGCGGGTGCCATGGTCAGCGCCGGGGAAAGGCTTAACAGGGCAGTGGTTTCACCATGGGAGTGCCTTGTGAGTACAGCGGAGTGCTGTGAGAGTGGGGGGTTTGTTACCCGCAGCTGACCCCACAACAGAGCCGAGAGTTGAAGGGAGAAAAAAGCAGCTTCCTGATGAGTCGCTGCTGTAGGCCTGGCAGCAATTAAACAGTGCTCAGACAGGTTCCTGTCTCTATGCAATAAAGCAATCTTGTCATTCAGGTTGAAATTAAGCATAGCTTGAGCTGTCCTGATTTCAGACCAACAAACAAACAGACCTCACAGAGTGCACTTCCAGGAAACTAAAATGTGGAGTCTTGAAGCATGGAGAGCTAGGGAAAGGTGACATAAAAGATCATTTTGGTCAGTTTTTAATGTGCATTGGTGGGAGATCTCATGAGGGTCCATGGAATTTTTTTACCATAGTTAAGGACACTTGGCTCAAGTGATTGTTGCTTTTTAAATTAAATTATAGCAAGAAGTATTTAAGGTGCGGAGCAGAGGTGTTACTTAGTGGTTTGTCCACAGGTAGACAAGAAAGAAGATTGAAAATCTACCCGTTGTTGAAGTTTGTGTACACAACCTTTCTGTTATTTCCACCATTGCTGCTAAAATGGCTTCGTTTAGATTTTGCCCTGAGAAGATGGGGTGGAAGGAAAGCGTTGTGTGTGTGAGCTTTATATCCATTTTCCATGCTAAGAAATAAACACTGGTATGAAAGAAACTTAAAATGTCTGGTTTCTGTTCTAGGTGCTGGTGTAAAAGATGAGGCTGAATGAGAGCCGGACAAGATCCTTCCAGGCTCCTGTCACCATCCGTAACTACCCGGGCAGGCAGGTCTATGTCTTTCCCAATGGCCGATCTGATTCGGAGGAGTCATCAGAGGAGGAACTCAACGTTATGGAATTGCGACCAAGGGGCAAGGAGCAGCAGCGATGCAGCTCTCGGGACAGAGTCGGAGACGTGGTACTTCTGGAACGGGAGATTACGGAGGGTGATAATCTGAACAAGCTGGCCCTGCAGTATGGCTGTAAAGTAAGAGCTATCTCTGTTTGGGTTTAACTGCTTTACAGGTATTTTACGTGTAGCTTAGTTTCCAGAACTACAGGAAGGTGTGCTGTTGTCTAATGGTTTTGACACTGCAAGGTGTTTGCCCTGTGCTTTTCGTGAATAGTCAGTATCTGTGTAAAACTGAGCTGGAGAAAGGCAAAACCCCAAAGTGTTCTTTACCTAACAGCCTAGGAAGATAGATACTGTCAACCTCACACCCTGCATGACCTGCTTTCAATTTGAGTGACTAAGTGCAGTGTAGCAGTTATGGTTTGTACTTACTTAAGTGAGGGCAAAAAGTAGGAAGGTGAGTGCAGAAATGAGGGTCAGAGCCTTGCTCTCAAGGAGCAGACAGTTTTAGAAGCAAACTGATCAGCACAAAGAAACACCACTCTGATGATGTCTGGTTTGGGGGTGGTTTTGTTTATTTTTTGAAAGTAATGAGCTTAACATATTGCAAGGAAAGGCTAACGAACGGGTGGATTTGGCAAAGGAGAGATGCCAAAGTTCAGGTGACAGAGCCTGGGTACTGTCAGTGCTTGTGAGTTTTGATTGATTGCTGTTGTACCCAGAAGGGTATGCAGTGCAACAGCTGCAGGCAGAGGGGAGAACCTCTGCACAGGGTTGCAACATAACTACAAAACACATTTCTCTGTTCCAAAGCAGAGCACTTTATAGAAAAACTGTTGAAAAGTTTAATTACCTGATCTGAACATTAGAAGTGCCCTGTTGTTTAGCAGTTAAAGCTGTATTTTTAGAGCCTCCTTTATCTGCAAGCTAGACTGTGATTAAAAAGTTCCATGATGCAAACAATTGGAAAGGGACCTGAATAGGGATAATGATACAGCACTGGCTCAACTGCTGCAATACTACTGCAGACTGTCTTGCTTAACACAACAGCTGTGTGGTGCAGCTGAAGCAAGAGGGCTTAGAGGGATTGTGACAATTCCTCCCCTCCCATTCCCTTAGAAACAAAAACAAAACAGAAAAGAAACCCTTCTAGGTTCTGCTGACAAGCCTGATGTGAGTGGAGGAGCGAGTCTGGTAGAACTTGAATAGGCCTTGATTGGCACCAGGAGGGCCTGAGAACTCAGAGCTGCAGCAGTTGACTTTGTAGTTGTGACTCTGTGCTCATCTCTGAGGAGTAGCTATCGTGTCGTTACTGCCACTGATGCAGAATCACAGCAGCTCAGTGAACCCAAAGGAGGAAGATCTGGAACAAATACTTTGATTTATGGCATGAAAAACTCCCCTGTCCTGTAGCTCAGGAGGAGTCAATCTTGTCCCTCCACCCCCTTTCTGCTCCCCAGGAGCCTTTTAGCCCTGGCAGGCACAGGTGGATCTACTCTGCCCTGATGAAGGTTGCTGGGCTCATCAGGTGGGGAAGATGAGGCTGATGGGGAGGGACCAGGTCACCAGTGTTCTCCTCCCATGGAGGGAAAACTGCCCTGCTACCTCCCTCCCTCCCTCCCTCCCTTCCAGAAAGGGCAGTGCTGACTGGTTCCAGGTAAATTGCAGGGGTACAGAAATCCTTATTATTGGGGATTACTGTATTTGTCAGTTTACAGCTTGGCACTGATGACTTTTCATGTTTTACTTCCACAATTAAGCAGCTCCTGAAAGGCTGCTGGGACATCAGTGAGGAAGAGGTATAGCCAAAATATGTGTGATGATTGTGTTTAAAAAGTCCAGGATGAGCTTTTCCTTGAAATCACTGAGAACTTGTCATTGGTTTCAGAATTGTCAGGGCCTCCTTGGGGTTGGGGTATTAAGATGGTGCCGCAGACAGCTTTGTGTGTGCTACAGATCACTTGGCAGAGGTGCAAAGCACTTCAAAATTCTCATTTTTACTCTTGACCATTTATAGCCCTGCCTGGCTTTTGGCATTGTTCTTAGCTGGGACAAGAAGAGCTGGCTGCAGCCAAAAAACAAGTACAGAAAATAAGCCTAAATGGCGAGTGCTCTTGCATGCCTCCCCTCAGCTTTGTTTGTTGTTTCTGTGCGAGTGCTGCTCCACTTTCTGTTTCCAGAGCCTTAGCACAACATGGCAGTGTTTGATTGCAGACAATGCAGGAGATATTTACTGTGCCAATAATGTGTTTTCACTGGAACAAACCCAAAAATTGAAGCACCTCCTTGGGAGGCTTTGGGTGAGATTGTTATTTCATAACTAAATAATGTTACAGGATTTAAGTCCAGATGTTACACTGGGGCAAGCTATGAAGGGGCACCGGATTAGGACCTAGATTAAACGTCTAATTTTCGGATTCCTCAGGCTTTGCAGAGTAAATGTGAGACTCGGGCATTCATCTCACCTCTCCCTTTCAGCAGAGGGGCTGTGGCATGGCAGACTTGCCACCTTCCAGGGATTGCTGGTGATGAGCTTGGTGTGTGGTTCTCTGATAACCCGTATGGGCTGGAGGGGAGATCCATGGGGAGCAGCAGCTCCTCTCTCCTGTGGCTGGTGCTCATCCTCCAGCCCATGGGGCCTTAGTGCAGGGAAAAGCGGGCTGCCTTCCCCTTGGCACCCCCTGCATCTTTGCCCACAGCTATGATGATTTTGGTGCTGGTGGCTCTTACACATTTGCTTAGGAAGTGCTTTCTTGGTTTTGGTTCTCCAGTTTCATTGGTAGCCCCAGGCTTGTGAGTGTGCAGCAGATGCAGTTCATACATAATTTCCTAGATTTCTAAAAGAACAAATCCAACTTTCTCCAGAAGTGCAGGCTGTGTCTCTTCTATGTGGTACATCAGAGGTGGTCAACCTCTTCATGTCGCCCTTCTCTTTGCTTTGAGGTCTTGCTGTTTGGTTTGCGTCCTCTGCCTTTCCCTAAAGGTTCTTTCCTATCATCTCCCTGCTTTGGATTGCTCCGTGCACACATTAACACTCCTTTTGTTTTCTTTGACACCTGATTTAGGGTAGCTGAGAAGTTCATGGATGTACCAAGTGGTTGTGAGTGGACACTGTATTAAGCTATCAATCATCTCTGTTTAACATTAAACAGAGAAGCGCTGCTGTCTTTGTCTTTTCTTTGATACCAGCTGTCCTTGTGACTTACGCTGTACATACAGTTTGGTCTTTCTTGCTCTTCTTACTGCTGTTTGCATCACTGAGCTGGGTGGGAATACCCGTCACGGATGGGAACTACGCAAACACCAGAGATGATCACAGATACATGGAGATTATTGCTTTACATGTACCTTCAGTGGGAGCTTTTACCAGCGGTGGAGAAATGAGCCATGTGAGCCGCTGGTTTGCAGGAGAGGGACAGTGCTCGGGTACATGAGCAGAGGATGCTCCTGCCTGTGTGGCAGAGGTGCTTGCCAGCTCTCTTCCAGGTGGTGATCTCGCTTTCAGACCTGTGGTGTGTTCTGGAGACAGAGCTCTGTTCACTCTGAAATCACCTTCTGAGCAGGAGGAGGGTTTTGCCTGCATGTCCTGAAGTTGTCCTCACCTTAAACATGCATTGTTTAAGATATGAAAACTGAGGATCTGTTATAAAAGATGACTCTTGCGTTAACCTGGATTAGAAAGCGAGAGAACGGTAAAGAAAGAAAAAGGAAGGAAAACCATTAAGTATTAAGCGAAGTACAGCCCATGAGAGATACAGGAGCACGAGAGGAGGTTAGAGACTGGTTTGATGACAGGGAACAGTCTGTCCTGCAGGACCTGGACCATCCCAGGAGCAGCATCTCTGCAGAGCACTAAGCCACTTGCAGCCAGGGCTTACTTCTGTTTCTGGCAGCTGCTCGCACACTTCCTGCTTCAGCACTGGGATGTCCTACACTAACATCCGTGTCCTTTTTGGGTTCTGTAGGTTGCAGATATCAAACGTGTCAACAACTTCATCCGGGAGCAGGACTTGTATGCTCTGAAGTCCATCAAGATCCCAGTGAAGACCCACGGGCTGCTAACAGAGAACGGTGGAGACCTGCGGCCGGTCCCGAGCGTGCCCGCGCAGCCCGGCCTGACACTTGTGGACTTAGGGGAGCCCGATGAGGGTGTGAGCAGCAGCGCCGGGAGCAGGTGCCTCAGCGACTACTTCAAGGGGATTGACAAAAGCATTCAGGACGCGGTGCAGGCCGAGGTCCAGCTGAGCACCGAGTGCTGCCTGGAGGCACTGGAGCAGCCACTGCCCGAGCCGGGGAAGCAGGAGACCAGCAACGGCGCGGACTGTGGGATCCAGTGGTGGAATGCTGTTTTTATTATGCTTCTGATAGGAATTGTCCTGCCCGTGTTTTATATCATCTATTTTAAAACACAAGGCCTGGTGGCCCATACCTCCAACACAACACTAACCTCAAACATTTCAGCAGACGGATTGCAAGGGAAATTGCCACAGAGCTCAGTTGTAGATAAAAAATCCTAGGGGGGGAGGCAGCTGCCTGCAGCCTCTTGCCTGGCGCTGCAGCAGGTGTGCAGGGACAGACTTGAGCACAGTCAGCGGGTAACAACACACATGATTTCTATTTTTCTTAAGTAGCTGGTGTTGTGATCCTGAACTTGGCTGGAAGTGCAGCCATGTGCTGCTTATGGAAAAATCAGGATGCTTTGTTGCTTGTAAGGATCATCAAGCAGCTGGCTTAGCGTCCGTGAGCTCTGCTGAGGGAAAGTGTTTTGTAGCAATCTACTCATCGTGGTTGCTTCGGGTATTTCCTAATGCCTTCTCTAAGCAGCGAATCTTTGCTGCTGGGTAGAGTGCAGTATTAATGCTGTTGGAATGTTGGGGGTTGTTTGCATTTTATGAAAACCCTTTTTGCTTTGAGTATTGGTGGGGATTCAACTCTTTCTCTGAACTGTCAGTTTTAGCTCTTTGTAGCTTTGGTGTACTTGACCCTAAACCGATGGCCTCCAGCACATTGCATGAGGTGTGTGATGGCACAAGGATGCCACCAGCACCTCACCTTTCCATGCCTTTGAGGCCACCTCTGCCCATCAGTGAAATCCTTCAGAGGTGTCTCTTGCAGTCCGGTGTCTCACCAGAGCCAACACATCTGCATGACTGCAGACAGCCGAAGAGTAGAGGAGGAGGAGGAGGAGCAGCATTAGGCCTGGGGTATGTAGTACACACTTCTTAAAGGTTCATTGTTTCGGGTGAAACTGGCCACACTGTGCCAGTATTAATTAATAATAATCCATAATGCTGCATCTCAAACACCCAGTGTCAGTCCTGGGTTTGAGTTTCCTTGGTTGTGGGCTTCACGTTAGGGAGTGTTGAGAGTTGTGTTTGATTTGCAAGGTCCAGGACCGCAGTCCTGCATTACCTTAGTGGCAAGAGGTGGTGCAAATCCTTACAGGCCGGGGAATGTGAAGCTGCTGGGTGCTAAAGGTTTGTGTGAGCTGCTGACATTGGTGTTCACAGGCTTTGGAATTCAAAGGAAAGCCCAATGAAGCTGCAGAGGTTCGTGGAGGCCCAAGGTCGGTGCTGTTTAGGACAGGTCACTCAACACTACATGCCAGAGGGGAGCAGAACAGGAGCCTTTGGGGAGCTTTGCCTCAGAAAGTGAAGTCAGCAAATTCAGGGCCTGCGGGCGCAGGTAAACGTTCTCCTAGAACCAGACACGAAGGTGCTTTGCAGCACAGAGCGCGCGACACCTGCACAGGGTTGATGTG